AGTGTATATTGTATTATTATTATTATTATTATTCTTCAATTATAGATGTATGCAGTCAGAGACTATGACATCTACCTGAGAACTTTAGTTCTCAGGGTTTTTTCTATGTCTGTAAAGTTAACTATTATACATTCATCAATTTCAGATATGCAAAATCAGAAAATTCCAGCTCAGAATACAAAAACTGTTTACAAATTGCAGTATTTTAACATCTTTTGATACTTTGAAATCATTTGACAATATCATGACAAAAGAAAAGAGAAAAAGAACACAGTCTCAAAGATAAACACATTAAATAAATAGATAGAAAGAAATTGAAAGAAAAAGATAAAGAAAAAGATAAAGTAAAGAGAGCTACAGAACAAGATCTCTGCAGTTTACACCTTAAGCTATATACATATTTTTAACATTCTATATAACTGACCGCCGCCTCTGTCCTCTCAGGCCCACTTCAGGGGTTATCATTCTCTCTAAAGGGCCGCCGCCCAGCTAGCTCCTGTAACTAGCTTACTCATAAGTGAGGTCCTCACTAAGAATAACACCAGAGCTACTCAATTCTAGTTAAGTCTCTAATCTTCCAGCTGCCAATCTCAGCATTCCAGCCTATCAATTGGCCGTCACGGTCTTGCTTGCACTAATCACCTATTAAGGGCGCCTAGGCCTTGTCTCACCTAGGTCCTTGCTAGGCCCAGGGTGTCCTAATCAGATAGTTTTTAAATCTCATTCCCCGGAAGTGGGTGCCTAGAGTGAGGGGGATGAGGCCTGGCCAGTTAAGCTTGACAATGATTCACTATCCTGTGGGCATTCTAGACCCCAATCACTCTAGTACTGATCTAACTTGAAGCGCCCGGGGGGCTGTTAACCCTAAGATCAGTGAGAATTAGCGCCCGGGAACCCCCGGGATGGACATCTTAAGCTTGATGATGATTCGCTATAGTGAACCCGGGGGCCCCCGGTACTGTTTTATGACTTAACAGTGGAAGCTGTGGTTAAGATGGCCCTCGCAGGGTTCGAACCTGCCCCCTCTTGGCATTCATTCCCGGGGGGAAGGCCGCTAATTGGGGCTCCATGTCAGCGTAGTTAACCACTACGCCACCGGGCCAGTGTATATTGTAAATAAAATGAGTGAGATTGAAGATCTCTGTGATACTTCTATTTTTATCTCAGTCTTATCTTATTTCATTTCATTAAAGAAGAGTTGTATAATTCTTTTAGATATAAAACAGTTAACTCATTTTACTAGAGAAAGTGACAGTTTTAATATCTTTAATATCTGAATTAACTTTGACTTTGAAACATGATCAAATGCTTCTTTTATATCAATAAAAACTGCAGTTGAGACCAGACTCTCATGCTTTACTATTTGAATATCATGCACAACTGAGAGAACAGTGTTAATTGCAGAACACTGTTTTCTATCTCTCATTTATTCACTGAATAAAAGAGAATCATCTACAGAGCTTATAAAAGATAGTTAAGTAGCTATTATCTTTTCTAAAACCTTTTCTAGGCAGTTCAATAGAGATATTACTCTATATGACTACAGGCACTAGTCACCCGCAGAATGCATCTTAAGCTAATTACATTTAATTCTCTATAATTAACTGATCACTGTGTCCATCCTCTCAGGCCAGTCACTAATTTTCAGAGATGTTAGTTAGTGACTGCTACTGCTTACTTGATAATGTACACATTAAGCTTCCAGTTGCTGATCTCGGCCTCATTAGATGCTCATAGACCTATCAATCAGCTGTCATGACCTCACTCTATATTAGAGACTAATTATAGACTTGATGACTGCAGTTCTCCCTGCTAGTATTAGAGACTGGCAGTGAGCTTGCAGACTCTAGCCTATCAGAGTACTCTATCTAAAGTCTAGATACACATCTAGACCTGCTAGTCAGATAATTTTTAAAATCATTCTCTGTATTTAAGAGAGAGCTAGGCTCTGATGACAGCTCTAGTTAGAGACTTGCTTAAGTAGTATATAATCACTACATTAGACTTGACTCTATATTGTTAGAACCTTGATAAGTGTATAGTAGAATAGTGAGACATTGACATCTTATACCAGCTCTGATAAATGTTCGCAGAATCTCACTTAACTAGTGACTTAGCTTGCAGTAGAGAGTTCTACTCTGTATCAAGTCTTACTAATTAGACTCAGCTTCTATTATATGAAGACTTTCATGAGTAAGAAGTGACAGGTGTCAGCAGTGAGATTCGAACCCACACATCTCTAATGTGTGCGGTCTTGATTATCAGTCTTATCAACTGAGCCACGCTGGCTCACTCTGATCTTCATTGAATAGAAAATCTTATTCATCAGTTCTTCTTTCTTTCTCATGTCTGAAAGAGAATTCTGAATCATCTATTACAATGTCTTAATTATCAACTAGTTAAATCACTGAATCACTTATTAGAGAGCAAATTACATCTCATCTCACTTTTAAAACAGCTGTTTAAAGTTCTTTTAATTGATTTTATTACAGGATTATCTGTGAGTGATAATCATGACACTATATTAACAGTCACAGACAAATTTTTGAAAGCAGTAATTCTAATTACAGAACAGAAATAATAAGACACTTCATGATAAGTGAAAGACTTCTATAAAAAGATAATCTGCTGCTGACAGCTCTCACTGATAATTATTTCAGATAGAGATCTTAAATTTACATTGTAATTTTAAAAGTCAGTTCTTCAACTCATGAAAATTAAGACATGAATGATAACTGTCTACAACTCTTACTTAAACAGTCAAAGCAAGCAGATCAATCTCATGATTGAAGTCATATTATGAATACTTCTTATAGATGAATATAAAATAAATTAAACTGCTCTGCTTAAATAAGTGAAAAGAGTGTTGAACTCAGTAGCTGTATAGTCAGTAATGATCTCTCTCTTTGAATTACTCACAGGTGTAAAGCCTAGATAACTGTCATTGAATAATGAGAAAGCTCTGCTAGATATAGCTGAGTTCATTGCTGCATGAGATACAGTGTAGTAAGACATTCTTGACTCATATACTCTGATAAAAGCTAGAATGACTGAGTTCTTTAACTGATCTCATTTTCAATCAACTATTCAGATTGATGATTGAGTCTTCTTAAACCTTGCTTAAAAAGCTCAAAAGAGCTATACATTAAAAGAAATGTTCAAGCTATCACTCTTACAGATAGACTCATTTCATATTCTTCAGAAGATATCAGATGCTGCATTTCAATTGAAACTGTCAGCTGATTGATGAATATACTCAGTAATCTTCATTATTCATCTGAAAAAGACTGTGTTAACAGAAGCAGATATGAAGCACTCATTATCAGAATCAGTACTTATTGATAATCAGTTGCAATTTGAAGTTGAGAACATCATAAGAAAGCACACAGAGAATAATAAGACTTATCTCTAGATTAAGTGAAAGAAATATAATGATCTGATCTGAGAGTCTCTTGAAGTTATCACACAAGACACTCTGCACCTGGTCAAGACCTTTATGATCAGAAAGCCTCACAGTCAGTTGAGTAAATGATAGAAAGAAAAGTAAAATAAGAAGAGAGTGAAAGAAAGAAAGAAAATATATTACAATCTAATTTTAGCTATCAAATGAGAAGATAAAGAAAATAAGAAAATTATCATCTTTCATTCTTTTCATCATTTCATTCTGTCTCTTCTCATTAATCATCTTCAAGCTCTTTCTGCAGCTTAATCTTCTGCTCAGTGAGACATGCATCTCAGAATGCAATATCTGCTGATAACTTCTCATTCACAAGATCACTGAAACACATCTCACTGAGCAACTTAAAGAAATGATTATTAGTCACAGTATTCTTCACAGCTGAAATCATGTTGATAAACTCAGCTATCTTATTCAGTTTCTTTCATGTGGCCTGAATAATGTTCAGATTATACTTGTCAAGATTAGGTGACTGCTTTAACATCTTTAAATCTTAAGCTCTACAATCAACTGTGTAGTCTTCAGAAGACAGAATCAATAACTGTCATACATCACTTATCTTAGCCTCATTGATTATCTTAGCAGAAGTTGAATAACTTATCTTTGTCTCACTGCTTATCTTCACAGATGTCAAGATGTCTCACTCACTGATTTGAATATGTTTCAAGAGTTTCAGTGCAATCAGACTCAATGTCTTGCACTTGAAAGACATAGACATTCTCTTCATTGAAACTATAGATGAATTGTCCTTCTCTCTTATATCACTGATCTTAACAATGTCATCAACATCTGCCTTCTCAGCTGCAGTCTTTTCAAATTCAGACACACTCTCTTCAAACAGCAAGTTATCTGTGTTTCACCTGAGTTTATACCAGCTACAGTAATTTAAAGAGTAGTGAGATCTCTTATTTTCTCACTAACAGTTGATACAAGTGCCATGCTCTTGCTGTGTCTGTTTATCATCTGCAGAAGTGATCACACATTTCTCAAATCATCTCTGACTCTTTGTGTAAGACTGATATAACATAGAAGCTATTTCTCTGCAGATCTGCAGAATAACAATATTCTGATTAGTGAAATTCTTAGAATCAACAGTCTGTGAAGTGATTAGCTCATCATTATTTATTCATCAGTATAACTTTCACTTAACAGATAACTATCTCAAATCTTTAATCAATCACTGACTGAGTAAAACAAAAAATTCATAATTAATAAATGACATCTTCTTACTACATTCTGTAAGTCTTTCAATGATTGAGACAGCATCTGTAAGCCTCTTCACAGTTGAGTCTCACATAATTGACATGCTCAGGCAAGTGAGCTTATCATTCTGCTAGAAGTGCAAGTCAGTCTTATCATTATAATACAGATGTCTCATACATGTCATGTCATACAGTCAAGACATCTGATCACTCTTGACATTCTTCTTCTATTCTGACTTTCTCAAAACATTGTCACTCAGAGTTTCATACTGCTTTTAACTAGCTCTTCAGCACTTCTTGTTCTCTTTTATCAGTAATGATTCTTTGATATTCATATCTGTCTATTCAGCTTCTACTTTCAGTTCTACTTATAACTCTTCATTATCAGCTGCTTCTGCAGCAGTCTTCTGACTCTCTTCTCTCTCATTCATCTCAATGTCTTCTTTCAAAAATCAGTGTGTGAACAGTCACAACTTTTTCAAATGAATAAATGATGTTATAAGCTTTCATATCATAATCTTAGACTCTTCTTGACTCTTCAAGCTTCTATTATATAATTCATCTATTGACTCTTCTGTGACAGTATCATGCAGCCTAGCTGAGTGATGATAAGACATCACTGTGTTTTCCTTATCTTGATCTTTGATTACTTTGTATGTGAAAAGATAAGTTGATAGTATCAGAAGCTTATCTCTGAAGTTATCAGAATTGAAGATTTCTGACTCACTCTCTGTCTGAAATTCTAACTCTTTATCTTCATTATTTTCTTTCATCTCATTCTTATCTGTCTTCTCTTCATTAGTCTTCTCATTCATCTTCTCTTCTCTATCACTTATATGAAGAAGAATATTATACTTCTTCTGACTTAATGACTGAAACAATTTCTCTAAAATCAAGGTCTTTTTCATCATGCTCACTGCGCCTGTCTTCACAGCTGTCAACTTCTTCTTAGAGCTCATTGTTTTTATAGTCTAATCTTCTATATATCATGATTTTCACTAATTCTGCTATGTTAAATTTTAGCAAGATGTGTGAGAAATAAGAGAAGAATAAGAAGAAAGTAATTGTAATATATATATTAATATAATTATTCATCTACACTAATCTCTATCACTTACAGAATATTTCTCTCATCACAATAAAACTTTCATTCTCATCTATTTTATCAAAGAACTCTTTCTCATTCAAGCTTCTTATAATTTCTTTACAATTTCTTTCTTTTCTTATAGCTGTTTTTAGATTAAAGAACTTCTATCTCTTTCTTATCATTTCTTTTCAAGTTATTCTTACATCTTTCACTCTTTGTAGAGATCAATAATTCTTACATCTGATCATTCTTTATATGAATAAGTAATTCTATCACTCAGTCTCTTCTTTTCTATAATATCTACAGCATATATAAACAGACTAGCACTTCTGAATAATATTCATCTCTTTGAGCCTAGCGCCCGCGATATCTGTCATCTTTTTTCAACATCATTTTTTCTTCTCCGTGAATACATTCTTTCAGATAGAGAGACTGTGATGTGCTTTCACTCTCTATTCAAGTCAATTCTCTATCCAGCTCTAGCTTCTGCTTCATCTCTTACTGTTTTCTGAAGCTTTCACTTCTATCTTCTCTCTCTGCTCTTTTCTTTATATGCAATCACTTCTTCTATGAGAGCTTTCACTTCTTTTCTACAGAGTCTTCATTCTTTTCTTCATATATAATCACTTCTTCTATAAGAGTGTCTACTTCTTCTCTACAGAGTCTCTGTTCTTCTCTTTATAGATGATCACTTCTTCTACAAGAGTTAATCTCTATAAAACAATCACTGTATATATAAGGGTGTACGCCCATCTCTCATCTTTTAGAGAAGAAGATAAGTTTTTACCCTTATATCTGACTCTACGTAGCGGCGTACACTACAAGAACTCTGAATTTAAGTCTCTATAAAAATCTTTATTTCTTAACTATTTTACTATAATATTCTCAGCCCCGGTGGCCGAATGGTTAATGCGGCCACCCGGTAGCGCCTTGGCGTGGGAAACCAAGGCGTGTGGGTTCGAAACCCGCAGAGAATACATTAAATCCAGAACTCAAGCACCTCAGGTTCCTAATAAATACAGAGGTGTACAAATCGCTTCAATAAAATTGCTCTATGTTCCTGGGCTGGGAAGTTATTATCGCATGTATTTAATTGTCACTTCTTTGTATTTCCTATGTTCTTGTTATCTTGGCGTGGTCTCAACACCTGTATTTCCTTCTGTATAATCAACACTTGGCCTGTATTTAACATCACGCAAGGACTCATCATAAGCTCCGCTTGCATATGAGTATAATGGAAGAATAATAATAATAATAATAACTATAATATTCTGATAATATAAGATAATCTCAATCATCTTTTCTATTAATTATAAGATATTATAGACAGATGCTGTAAATCACAGCAGTTTAATTATAAATAAACTTATAAAATATTGATATCAGTATCAGTGATCTCAAATTCTAAAGAAGTATTAATAGATTCAAGCTCTGTTAAGTCACTTTCTAATATATTATATTTATTATATACATTGTTGAGAGACTGTAGTAATTGTAGAGAGAATTCATTTTTAAGTAATAAAGAATATTAACTGAAGTATGTCTGATATTAAGTATTCTGAGATTTAAAAAATACACTGTCTCTTATTAATAATTGTAATATAATAAGAAGAAGTAGTAAGTTATAAAATAGCAGTGTAAGAAATCTCACTTCTCGCGAATTCTTTACCTTTATTTCTATCTCTTACATAATTAATAGAGTTAGCAGCTCTTGACTATATATAACTATATAGACTAAAGTTTGTGACTACTATTTATAACTCAGCTTGAATACTATTATATATTTAATCTCTATATTTTATCTTTCTATTGTGAATACTTCTAGTAGTTAACAGTATATATCATACTAAGCTGCAAATACCTGAATAATCATCTATAAGTACTTATTCTTACATTTCAAACTCTGTCAGTCAGTAACTATCTGTTATAACTGAAAGAACTAGAAACTTATATACTTTAATTTCTGTGAACTCTATTGTAGACACTCAGAAGTAGTCACTTAAATTATGAATAATCTGTATAAAAAAAGTTCTAAAGAACTTATTAATTTTTTATAAAACACTATTCTCTATATCTATGACAGAGAAACTCTATAAACTTATAAATAAATTAATCTTAGTAAAGAACATTCTTAAGTATCTTCTATAAAATTAAGTTATTTTTCTATAAGAAATACTTACTGTCTATAAACATTCTCAAACTGAGTCTCTAAATATAATTAATCTTTAGAGATACTTATAAACTGAAAAGAAACTTTCTTAAGCTGTGATTACTTAAGATTATCTATTAAATTACAATTTATAAAAGCTTTTATAAGTTTGTATTTAAAATTGACTTATAAGTCTGACTGTGTAATATAAAAGATGAAGAAGCTGTTATTTATATAATAACAGATCTCTACTATATTAAAGTTAAGAATTGACTAAATTATCTAAAGAATAATTATAAGAGATTCCACTGATTCATTCTCAAGATCTATCTAAAGAATAAGTTAAAAGACTCTGTAAGCTGAACAGAGAATATCTAAACTATAATCATTAATATTAGAAAAAGAGATGAGAAATCTGATAAAGACTACTTATAGTACTTTATAAAACTATAATATGAATTAAGATTTGTGAAAACAGAGCTCTGAAATAAGATCTGAATAATAATATTTATAAAGAGACTGAATAAATATATATAGAATAAACTTATTAAGTAAGACTCTAAGTTCTTAACTCTGAAGAAACTGATAACTATTATTTATCACTTACAGATCTTGAAAATTCAAAAGAGAAGAATATCAAAGCTGATAATTCATCTGCACTGAGTTCCTGCTCATATGAATATTCATGGCAATGAATTGGCTGATTCAGCTGCAAAAAAGAGTGCAGAATTAAGCAGATCTATTTAAAAAATTGTGTTTTGATCTTTTATAAAGAGAAAAATAAAAGAATCTTGTTTAGACAAGTGAAATGAAAGCTGGCAGAAACAAAAGAAGAGTATACATTATTCAAGATTTGAAACAAAACCCAAGTGGAAATCTTGTTCAATTAAATGTAAAAAGAAAATATTCTCATCTATAATACAGCTGAAACTAGAACATGACTATTTCAAATCTTATATACAAAGATTTGATGATAGATTTGACTCAATAGAATACTCATTCTGCAATACAAATGAGAATTCTGAGTATATTATAATGCACTGTGTATTATACAATAGTCTCAGAGCTGTGATTCAAAGGTTGCTTAAGCCAGCGTACAATTACAGGCGTACGCCGGCTTCTTATATATTGAATCTTGTATGCTAAATTAATTAGTGGCTGCTAGAGCCCTCTTTACATTTGTATGCTAGTAGTTCAGAAGCGGCTGTGTTATTATCTGACAGTTGTACATTCTTCTGAATCACATTCTTCTCTATCAGATTTAATCACACTCATATGATCATGTTGTACATTCTAGCTTTATGCAGATTAGCTCATCACTAGTATTTCATGATTGTGTGATCTATTTCTGATTCAGCTAGTGTTCTGTATACACTCTTACAAAGAAACTTTCACTATATTATATCACTTATTCACTAACTTTTCTCATTCTTCAACTATCATCTTCATCATTGTCATTATTGAACATCATTATCATCTCAGATTTCTACTTCTTCTTCTGTTTAACTCTTTCTATCTGTTTATCTATTACATTATATGCATTTCTAGCAATGGTCTCTCATTCTTATAACAAGTATTATCATAGTGTTCATATCAGGCAGTTTATTAGCAGTAAGTGTAATGTGTTGTGAAACATGATCAGGACTTATTTATCTTCTAATAATTGTCAGAACAATGTATTATCATGAATGATATATCTTCTTTATCTTCTCATATATCTCTGATTATTTTCTTCTCAGTGAGTTTCTGATTGTGTTTTCTGACATGATTTTATATGAATACAGATACTGATATGTTTGTTTTTATTCATATAGAATCTTCACATGTTGACAGATTCATGTCTGCTGATGATAGTGAACTCAGTGTTAAATCATTGATTAAGAACTTGAAGAACATGATAATGAAGAAATTATCTGTGTCATGTGTGACCAGATCTTCTGTGTTCTTCTCTACTTCTTCTGCTGCTGTCTCTCAATCTTCTACATCTATCTCTGTGTCTGATTCTCCCGCTCCCGCTACCCCTGTTCCTGTGATCCCTGGTTTTGCTGTCTCTGTTTTCATTATCAGCTCTTCTCATTTCAAGGAGATGTTGTATAGGCTTAATGAACTACATCTCTCAGCATGTATACTTTCACTCTTCTTACTGATCTCTAGAACAATTTATTGTATGAAGACTGTGTATAACATGACTATCTAAAGCTCAGTCATGAACACTGATTATTATATTCATTTTAAATATTCATGATAAGACAATCATTTATTTATATCAGAGAATCACTCTCTCTTAAAACAGTATCAAGATTGTAAGTCTTTTTCTTTTCATCTTTTCTTTCTAATGCTGATTTTTCTGTTCTTAGGAAAAATTGTTATGAGTTTTACTGTGTATGAAGTCATGATATTCACAGACATTAAGAAGCTTTTCATAACTGTAAAGTTTAACATTGCAGAGATATTTGCTCTAATGAATTTCTTCAGAATAATAGATCTGTATCAGTCTATTCTCTGATATCTGTTGTTCAACTTCATGATGCAGACAAAAGATATTCATGTTTTTAAGAATGAGAACACAGATGTCATACTCTTTTACACTCATAAGTGTGAGACTTGTATACCTTGTCTGAGATGTTGTTGTGAGAATAAGTTATTCATACACTGTGTTCTGCTTTCTGTATTCTCTCATGTCTCTCTCTCTCTTTCTGAGAAGTCTTATGCATGTTGTAATT